CTGTTGATTCTGTTCGCCGATCATAGACCCACGCTAGCCCTAGGAATATTCTTGTGTCTTGCCCTCTATATACCTGTTGCCATTGTCTGACCCTTGCCTGTTTCTGACCATGTCAGTTAATAATACTTATATTTTTAAAAATATCTGCATGTAATTACACCTGTAATTAATTTCTGTAATTACATATATAATTACACCAATGACCCATTCCTTACACCTTAACCCATCTTTAAACCTACCCATACCAACAAACCTATCCCTATCCTTACCCGTATCCCACCTCAATAGCAGCAGAAGTGTTTTGCAATACAATATGAACACAATACGTACATTGTACTTATTTGTTTGATGTAAGTACATAGTTAAGACCATCTGTTATAAAGTGGGACCAAAATTTCTCCTTTTGTTTTGACACTGATGTAATCATTTTATGATATCAAACTTACTGTAAGTAAACAGTTTACTAGCATGACACATACAGTATGGATGGAAGTTGTCTTCAGTAAGGACAATAGGATTGCTTTGTTACACACATTTAATCCAGTGAAGCTTAGCCTGTTAATAAATGACTCGTCTTGAGTTATCATCTTAATATACAGACACATCCATCAAGAATAATGTTTTTCTAAGCCATGAGGGATTTGAGTCTAACTTGCATTCAAGTGATGAGCCATGGTCTAAATCTGGTCTAAATATAATATTGTATAACAAAAAGTGGCTGAATGTTATTGGAGGATAAATAATCAGATGTGGAGCTTGTGGTTTTGGTGGCAAAAAGGCAGTGGGAGGGAAAAAAACAAGCAGACATTTAAATGAGAAAAATGAGCAATGCCAGAAATGCTTTGTAGTGAATATGAAATTTACTCAAGGTGAAATTGCTATTATATTCTGTCCTGAAATAGCCGGTGCTCTACGGGAGAATGATTTTATTTTATTATACATTTCACAAAGAAATTTCTCAGTGTGGAAAATTTGAGTGGCTTTTAGGAGTGCATTACAGGGTGTGACAAATTGAATTTGAGGCATCAACAAATACAGAAATATGACAAATTATGTGTTGGGGGGGGGGGGGGTTCCTGTAAATTTATGTTTTGCAAGTTATACAGTCCTATATAGATAAGATTATATGAAGTCAGAGTGTAATGAGATGGAGAAAATTAGTTCACCCTGTAAAACTAACTGTCATATTGGGCTAAAATATTTCTCTAAAATCATTAAAGGATGGTGGATAATTAGTGAGGTAAGAGCCAAACCACCGTGCGATAGTCTTGAACAGTGAGCGCCACGGAGAAAAGGTAAATGTGCGCAGCAGAAAGTGCAACCACAGCAGATTGTAGACAGCAGTGAGGAAAATGAAACGGTGGCACTGCCAAAACCCTGCAAGAGAAGCGGTCAGCTACGGGTGAGAGAATGTCAGTGAGCGAGAACACAAAAACCAATACTGAATGAATTAAAGTGGTCATTTCTGTATTTAGGATACTGTATTATGCTTTGCGGTTTGCAGAGCAAAGATTTAAAAGAATTGGATCACATCCATTGGATATTTTTACCAAGCCAGAACATATTTGTTTTGCATTTTTGCTAAAATATGCTTACGCAGCATTTGAAGATGGGTTTATAATATCCTGACCAGCAGACAATTAAGACAAAAGTAATTATACATACACTACACTCCAAAAAATTTGGGGTCGGCAAGATTTTTTAATGTTCTTAAAAGACGTTTCGTTTGCTCAGCAAGGCTGTATTTACTTGATCAAAAATATAGTAAAAATAGCATTATTTGTGAAATTTTATTACAATTTTAAATAACAGTTTTCTACATATTATTATATGTTCTATACATTTAAAACTGTAATTTATTCAGTGATGTTAAAGCTGAATTACTCTTCAGAGTCACATGATTCTTCAGAAATCACTCGGATATGCTAATGTTGCGATGAAGAAGCTTTTCCTATTATTATCAATGAAGAAAACAGTTGTGCTGCTTAATATTTTTGTGGAAACCGTAATACAGGGTTTTTTTAAATCAATATTTCAATATCTTTTGAAACATTTAAAATGATTTTTACTGCCACTTTTGATTAATTTCATGCATTCTTGTTGAATAAAAAAAATAGACCCCTAACTTTTGAACGGTTGTGTATTTATAATTTAATCTTTTTACAATTACATATACAATTGTAGTATATATTAATCTTCAGCAAATCTCAAAATGAAAATCTTTAATAGTACATTATACGTGTTATAATATTCATTTTAGTACATTATAATGTTGATTAAATTTAGATTAGATTGTTTCATTTATTTTATCTGAATTATACTTTAATTAGACTTACAACTTAATTAACTAAAATATTTAGTCTAAATAATTGTTATATTTATTTTCGTCTTAGTACACAGTATTAGAAAAACACTTCAGAGAAAGAAACAAGAAATTTAATATATTCAATGTATTACTATAACATGAAATAATTATTAGTATCCAGCAGAACTTTCTACTGTTCTGTCAATAGAAAGTGGCCAAAAACACACACACACACACACACACACACACACACACACATACAGTATATATATACTGTATATATATATATATATATACTATACAATATGCTATATTTACTATATGCTATAAACAGTATTTCTAAGTGAGTAATCACTCGCTGCTGTGTTCTCTATGTTGAATATGTTCCAGTGCATCATCGAGAACACTATCAACTAGCATTAATGGGTTAACAAAGCTCTACTCTCCACTCCTACTCATTATGGCTCTTTGTGATATGCTGCATTGACCACCCCTGCTTTAATTCACCATTCACATTCAAACATAATCACTGCTTGTTTTATATAAATAGCCGTCCCACATTACATGTTAACATAAAAGCAGAAAAATGGATGTTGACTATTCTATTAGACCCAAAGCTGTTATTATGTTTACAGTAGAGCCCTTAATTATGACCCAGACCTGGTTTTATAATGTCAGTGGAAGTGAGATTAGCTATTTATGTGAACCTGCGTTTCGTCTTCATTACTGGCTGGAAAATGAAGCACTTAGACGCAACAAGAGGAAGGGACATCTCCTGTGGGTTTGTCTCTCCCCCTCTTGTGTACAAGTTTGCTACTTTGCTGAAGAAAATGATTGTCCTTTGGCATTCAGAGAGCATGAAAAATACAGTATAGTGTTGAGCAGATGTTGATGACATTTGTGCGTGTGTTGGTGGTAGATATGCCGTCTAGACACAATGTAATTAAATCTGCCGCTTCAGAACTGCTGGGAAATATGAATCCCCAAATAAGCACCCACAACTGTAGGCAAAACAAAATCGATCTGTTAGAAAAACATACTAGATTATTACATTATGATTGCGTGCCACGACTGCCACAGTTCCTGCATCTTAACTGAATAGTGAAGGGAACAAGACCAAGCAGCAGTGCTTGGGAGTAATTAACCAAGAGAAGCAACATAACTAAATTGACTTCATTATATTTTAACAGGCATGTTTTAAGGCAACAGGGGGAAAAAGAGAGAGAGAAAAAAATAAATACATTTGGGCTTTTTTTTGTCTCTGTACACCCAAAATACACATACTTTTTATTTATTTGCATCTGTAAGTTTCAATTACAATACATATTTTTTTAAATACGTTTACTCAAAATTACTTTTTTCTTGTTTTCTTCTGCACTGAGCCAGAAATCTGTGCAGCACACACACTTTACAGTTTTATTCTGAAGGATTTTACATAATGGTTTATAATTTGCATGATTTATATCGCATTTTATTCCTAAACAACATGAACGGTGAAAAATAAAATAAAATAAAATAAAATAAAATAAAATAAAATAAAATAAAATTAAATTAAATAAAATTAAATTAAATTAAATAAAATTAAAATAAAATGCAACATTTGTGCATATTTAATTAGATAATGCCTCATATTGCGTAACCGAAAGTGTGACAAAACACAACATCCCCACAACAGGTTGTGCATAAAGATTGTGTCTTCTTTCTAATACGTAGCTTTGGGAAATCTAGATTAATTCTAGTAAATTGGTTTGTTAAGATGGTTCATCTGAATGAACTAAATTCCATAAAAAATTATTCACTGATTCAAATCCCTGCTCAGATATTCTGCTCTGCATTTAAAATTTTCTGTATTATAGCAAACTGTTTAGTTAAATGCTGTCTATTAAATGTGTTCCATTTTAAGCTGTTGCATTTACTGGACATTTGCTATTCACTTACTGATTAAACTACAAAGTATATGACCAGATACAATTAAGTTTCCATAAAATTCACACACTTCAGCTTACAGAACTTAATGACTAGCATGTAGCTTAGCACGTATTAGTGTTAACTACTGGAGGCGTGTTCCATCTTCATTACGACCCATAATGAATTGACTAATAGTCACAATTAAGTAGTAAACGACTTCTCTTGATAAAGAAAAGAGTAAAGGGGAAGAAAAAGAGGTTTAAAAAGGAGGACAGAGAAAGATAGCTTACATTGTCAAAGCAAACTCTCAAGTCATAAATACAAGCCTTCTTGTCATGCCTTTGATCAAAACACTAGCAATTTATGAATCTCTTTTCATCCTGTTCATAATTCATTAGCCCTCAAAGTAAAAATAAATAAATAAAAATACAGCCTTATCAAATTTTAATGATACGAGTGCGTTTTGCTTTGAATGCTACTATATCTCCAAGTGAAAATTGCGTGCTGTAGTCAGTGAATCTTTAAAATTCATTGATCTCATAAAAAGCGGGAGAGGTTAGTAAATACTACCAGAGGATAAATTAGCCAACAGCACACTGAGCCAAGAAGACCTGAGAAATCCTTCCAACATGGTTAGCGGTCATAAATAAGCGGGGGGTTCGAGCGCCGCACGCACATAAGCATAATCACCTTGAAAAATATTTTGACACCTTCATAAAAGAGACATCATGAAGACTAACAATGCATAGGTGTAGCAGAAGGAAGAAACAGATGCCATAAATCTTACCTTGCGCTTGTTGTTGGGGCTGACGTACAGATAGCTGAGGATGGTCTTTACTCCCACCTTTTCATTGAGTTTCTCGTAAGTGGTTCCGTAATCTGTTGACCTGAAATGTAATCAGAGGCTTTGATGAGAACCTGGGGAATCAGCCGTTGTAATTAAAGACTCGCTGCACACTTTAAACAAGGCTGGGGTGAGTATGGAACTGTAGCTTATTCAAGGAAGCGAAGCACTTCTTAAGTGCCTAATTTGATTTAAGGAAGGTAATTACAGGTTTAAGAAATGTTGTAGCAATTTGTTGTAGTTATGCAGCAGCCATGACCCTGTACAGTGCTTTTAAAAAAAGAGATGGATGAATCAGCCTGATCTCAGGATCGTAGCTGTCATAGCTGTGGCATTTTCGTAAGAAAAGAAAAGTGCACTTAGCATACTTTTATAAAGTGTATTTATTACGCAAAATACACTGTGAATAAAATTTAATTTTTCAAAAACCTAAATGCATATAATTTGTAATAATTGTAATTTCAAATGTATTATATTCTAATAAATCTATATTAAATGCAATTGGTTGAACTTCAGTGGGTTTTTTTGACCCACGTAAGTGTACTTTCATAATTGCTTCTATCGTCTTTGAAATACAAAAAGTGTACTTCTGAATGTAGGTAATGTGAACTAAAATATACTTTAATGTCAGTTAAAGTTACAGTTAAATCTATTTGAATAAAGATGGAAGAGATGTGTTTTGAGATGGGCAGGTCATTCCACCAGGAGGGAACATTTAATGTAAAAGTCCTTGAAAGTGATTTTGTGCCTTTTTGTGATGGCACAATAAAGCGGTGTTCACTTGCTGAACGCAAGCTTCTAGAGGGCACATAAGTCTGAAGTAATGAATTTAGGTAAATGGGTACAGAGCCAGTGGTGGTTTTGTAGGCAAACATTAATGCCTTGAATTTTGTGCGAGCAGCTATTGGTAGCCAGTGCAAACTGATAACAGAGGTGTGACGTGCATTATTTTCGGCTCGTTAAAAATTAATCTTGCTGCCGCGTTCTGGATTAATTGTAGAGGTTTGATAGTCCAGCCTGGACAGAACAAAAGCTTGAGTTGTGAAGTATGTTCGGAAAGAAAGGGCCTGATCTTCTTGATGCTGAATAAAGCAAATCTGCAGGACCGGGCAGTTTTAGCAATGTGGACTGAGAAAGTCAGCTGATCATCAATCATAACTCCAATGTTTCTGGCTGGTTTTGAATGATTTATGGTTGATGTGCCTAACTGGATGGTGAAATTGTGATGAAACGATGGGTTTGATGGAACCACGAGCAGTTCTGTCTTGGCAAGGTTAAGCTGAAGGTGATGGTCCGTCATCCAACAAGAAATGTCTGTTAGAAATGCTGAGATGCGAGCAGCTATCATCGGATCATCAGAATGGAATGAGAGGTTGAGTTGTGTGTCATCAGCATAGCAGTGATATTAAAAGCCATGTTTCTGAAACTATATTTACAACTATATTTAAAATGCATTTCAACAATCTATTAAAGTGTATTTTAATTAAACACACTATAATGTACTTCCACCCTATCCCATAACCATAACTGGAATGTAATTCGATTGTACAAAAACATACAAATGAGATCGTACAAATACATATTTGTATTTCCAAATTTCCAAACACATCCACAAAATAAAATAGTTATGAACTGCCATGAGACTGTGTTGGATGAAGAAACATAAATAAATACATTTATTAATAAATTAATAATTAATTTTACTTAGATTTTGATTTAGAGATTTAGATCAAATGTGTTTATAACAGAAGTTTATTTTAATATATTTAATTCACAGTTTTATTCAGTTTCAACCTTTTTTATCCACATAAAGCAATTAGGATCTATCATTTCATTTTATGTAATGAGCTTTCATTAACTCATATCTTATCAAATCTTGTTGATATAGAATTTAATACTTTTCACATCAGCAAATATTTAGATTTAGTTAAAAAGCCCATCATCCTCATGCTCAGTGGTATTCACACAAAATGTCAGCTTTTAATTAAACTTACAGTATGGCGGAAGTTAAAGAAAAGAGGCCATCAGTCACAGAGAGTTTTATCTCAGGAATCTGTCATCGCTCAATGTGAAGTTCTAACATTAATGAGACTTTGCTAACTGACTTTTAATTTTCAACTTTCAACATTCTGAGTTCTGTATACTAGAAACTCAGCAGTTTCTAGACAATAGAATACCAGTTCCAACTAAAAAAAAAACTACAGGCCAAAAGTAACACTTTTTTTTCTTTTTTCTTTGACTTTATGATTTTTTTTGTCAACATATCAATAAGCCATTACATCGGTGCAACAAAATGAGAATAAAATCCAAGAGTCAGACTAGGTCAACACAACAATGTTCAATAACAGAAGCATTAAACAGAATACACAAAGACAGCTGTTCAGGATCACATTAATCCTACAAATAATACTTCACAAATGACCGTTGAAACAAAGGGAGCATTTAACGGTTGACTAATGAGCTCTAAATGCAACACAGGTGTGTGGTTACTATGGTAACAAGCTTCTGATAAACTGGGAATTCCAGAGAGGATGCCCTCTGTTGACTGTTAGGGGAACAACAGACACTTCACTGACATCTACATAAACAAACACAGCCATTTCAGAGGATACAGCTTTGTTTCTCTGGTGCTATATGTAGCATTTTTCGGTTATTAACTAAATATATGTCATTTTCTAGACTCGGGAAGGTCCACTGAGATGAAATTAAGGTTCTCAGTATTGTAAACAGAGCAGAAACAGTAATTTAGCTCTTTTATCTGAGCGACCCAAGGCCCTTTCAGTTCAATGCTTCAATGTAAGGCACAATGACAAGAAAGCATGCACTTAAGTCCTGCCGATTTGCTATACATTGCATGTATTATTCAATAACCAGACAAGAAACCAAAATGACTTGTTACACATGGGTTCACAAACGTTTATCAGGATGCTCTTGGAAATTTAAATAAGCTCATTAGGTCTTATTTAGACAATGCAAAGTGATCTAATGACATTAGTCATATTTTTGTATAAATACTAAAATGTGCAATATGGATGTATTGTCAGTATCTAAAATGTAAGAACTGTAGGTATGAACAACTTTAGAGATGTTCGAAAGGTCCACTGAGATGAAATTAAGGTTCTCAGTATTGTAAACAGAGCAGAAACAGTAATTTAGCTCTTTTATCTGAGCGACCCAAGGCCCTTTCAGTTCAATGCTTCAATGTAAGGCACAATGACAAGAAAGCATGCACTTAAGTCCTGCCGATTTGCTATACATTGCATGTATTATTCAATAACCAGACAAGAAACCAAAATGACTTGTTACACATGGGTTCACAAACGTTTATCAGGATGCTCTTGGAAATTTAAATAAGCTCATTAGGTCTTATTTAGACAATGCAAAGTGATCTAATGACATTAGTCATATTTTTGTATAAATACTAAAATGTGCAATATGGATGTATTGTCAGTATCTAAAATGTAAGAACTGTAGGTATGAACAACTTTAGAGATGTTCGAATTTCTATGAATCCTGGTAACACTTTACAATAAGGTCCCATTACATAATGTTAGGTAAGTCAATGCATTGGCATTGACAATGAGTATAATAATAATAAATGAGTAACAAATGTTTTAGAATAATTTTTCATTGTCAAAGATTATCAGAATCAGCTTTACAAAAAAAAACTATTTAATTGTTTTACTTTAAAATTCCATGTCTAATTCAATGTGTTACTTGCGGTTTCATTTTAATTGCTTGTAAAATTTACTATACATTTTTGAGTAAAAATTGTCATTCCTACACCTTTTTTTTCCAGTGTAGTTACGGATTTTCAACTACAAAAGTCCATTAATGACCCAAACCCATTTCAAACCTTATGCGAAGCTGAAATTGTCATTGCAAAGATAGTATATGTCATCCCTGGTTGCACATCGAAAGCTTGGCGATTCAAAGAACTACAGGCAATTCGCCAACGGTGGTAACACTGTAGTTAACCTTTCACTCTATAGATTGTAATGTAATGGAGAATGTTGACACAATCAGCCCCTCTGGAGTAACCTGGGGCTAAGCATCTTGCTCAAGGGCTCAACAGAAGTTAGTCTTACACTTGCTTGTACTGCGGTTTAGCCACATCACAAAAACAACAACCATGTGTCCTGACCAGAAATCAAGCTCAGGCCATGTGAGACCACTTAAAGGCACAATATGTAATTTTCGCCGCTAGAGGGCACATATTCAAAATAAACAAAGAGACAAAGGCGTAGTTTGATGACGCCGTGACTGAGTGTGGAATCATGGGAGTTGTCATCTTCATCCCCACAGCCGATGCAATCCGACGGGACTCGGGCAGAAATCATGTTCATGTCGAAGCGAAACGAGGATGCTGAACGAGCGCGTCACACGGCTCGAAAGCAGCAGAGCTTTTATTATGCCACAGTCGACCGCTTCCGCTCCTTCCGGTCGTGCGTATGTGAGGAAAAGCAGCGCTGTTTTTTCATACTAGATATATTTGAAAGTTCTGTTATAATGCTACTCTGTGCGGTCGTCACCGGTCTATTAAAACGCATAACATATTAAAGCGTCTTTGGTGTTTCCATGTTTTCTACAAAACACAACCGGAAATCGAGGGGTTATGACATCATTAGCAGGCAACACAATGACACTATAGACACGGTCCGTGTCACTAGTTAAAATTGCTTATTTCTCTGGATTTAAACATTCTCCGAAACATTTGGGATAATGTAAGTACACAAGTCAGCAAAATATATAACACTGTTCTAGTGGTTTTTGGATATTTTAATGAAAAATCTTACATATTGTGCCTTTAAGGATGATAAATAGCAACACAGTTAAACCAAAAAGATAAATTCCAAGTACATAAAGTAGTCTTGTGACTATTCTGAGGAATTTGAAATGAATCAAAGCAGTTGCAATAAGTGTTTAAAGATTGCAAACTACAAGAACTGAATAATGTGAATAATGTGACAACCTTCAGAAGCCCAGAAAGAGCTGGTCACCTCATTACAGATCAGAAAGATCCCATTGAAAGCTGTTATTGAA